GTTAAGGGCCTTGTTCAAGGGCCTTGTTCAAGGGCCCAATGGTGACATCACTCTGCCAACCGGGGAATTTGAACCTGCGACTTTCTGATCACAGGCATAGTGAAGCTGGACATCTGAATGATTGCAATGTGCGGGATCCCCCTCCCCTGATTCTCCAGCTTTTGCTCCTTTGCCCATATTTTTTGCCTGTATTTTGTCCGCAGGACTCGCGTATTGCGAAGTCCCTCCTGTCGGATTTACGGAAGAGTCGACTGAATGGGGTTGATAATAAAGCCCGCCTGATCTGGGATCAGTTTGCAGCGTCTGTGCTCTCCGTGGGGGCAGCAAATGTGCTGACCTGGGGCAAAAATCCAGATGTATGTTGGGATTGTGATTTATCCTGACGAATCACCATAGTGAAACAGTGTGTGTGTGTGTGTGTGTGTGTGTGTGTCCATCTTCATCCCTCTTTCTCTCTCCCTCCCTCCCTCCCTCCTCTGTATATGTCTGTGTGAATGCATGCTCTCTCCCTCTCTCTCTGCTCTATATCTGCATGCTCTTTTTGCTGCCCTCTCTCTCCCTTTCTGTTTGCTCTCTCATCCCTGGCTCTTGCTGTCCCCTCTGCCACCCACTCACTTCCTGCCTCTGCTCCACTCTCTGAGCTGTCTGGCATTGGCTGCATTGGCTGCATACCGGTGGCTTGGATGTACCGATTCTAACGGGCCAGAAGGGGTCACAGGTGCCGCCCAAACGTCCAGGAACGGCCACACGTCGTCCTCATCACTCCCAGCGGCGCCGGCCTTAGCTGTGCGTGGAAAATGTCCTACATTCTGGGACCGGCGTTAGCTGTGCGTGGAAAATGTCCTACATTCTGGTTTCCTTAGCATTGATGTCATTGGTGTATTTAATGGGACTGATCTGCTTCTATACCCCTGATTGGCCCAAGTGGCAGCAGCCAAAGGGGCTGTGCAATGTTGGGTCACAGTCGGAACCCCCCACTCCCAGCATTTCATGGGAAGAAGCCAAATCATATCGGACAGCAAAGCAGACAGTGACATAGCTTGATGCCACCCAGAAATGTGAAACAATCAAAAGTGGTCTTCTCCCGCGCCCCCTCCCATCTTCCAGGTCCCTGTTTACTGCCGCTAGCTGAAAGAGGAAGGTGGCCCTATTGTCATCAAGGTGGGGGTTCACACCACGACCTGGCCGGCAGCCCGAGGCATCCGGGGTCTGCGTTTCGGTTAGCTGGGTGGGCGTTCGGAACGCATCGCAGACACGCAGAGCTGCAGAATGCACCGCTGATCTTTAAGATCAGATAAGATACAGCTTTAATGTGTCACCCTAAGAGGGTGTTTTATTGTCCGCAGAAATTACAGAAATAACTCCCAGCAGTAACCTGAAGTACAAGTGCTTAATTTAGTGATATTGAGACAATACAGTGAAGCAGCAGATGGTACAGACAAGTAGCAGTAGTAGTTTGTGTCCTCCGAGCACCAGGAGCCCGAACAAACAAATGACAGCACGCGGTCTTATTTAGAAAACATACAAAAAGAGACGCATATAGTGTTTAATCATTCGTTTTGTATTTGTCCGAGTAACAAAGCAAAGGAATGATAAGCTGCTTCAGTCGAAAACTGCATTTTACTTCTCATTTAAAATAAAATGCAGTGTTGGCAACTTTGGTCAGCTGCATGGAGTGAGATTTTCTGTTCTCTGTTCTGCACACACATGTACATGTATGTAAGTTTTATTACCTTACAAATAGTCTGTAGGGTTTGCAAACTGCCGTAACGTTTTTGATGCAGCTAATTTTATGGAATATAGATTTGCCGTAAGATTTCTTGCGTGAGAGTCTGAAAGAGTTTGCAACCATGAACGCTTACATTTTGATTACATTTTACATAGTCCCTCAGATGTCATGGGGGTGTCCCTTCTTGGGCACAGGGACCTTCACGCTGTTATTCTTCAGGTTCTGCTCGGTCCGTTCCCCTGAGCAAGACCCTAAATCCCCAACTGTTCCAGGGACTTTCTGACCTTGTTATTTCTTAAAAATGTACTTTGGAAAAAAGCACCTGCTCAATAAAATTAAACAACCTTAAAAGACATTCTGGTCTGAAGCTGTAATTATGGGGTGTTGAGTGTGGTGTCAACCCCCCCCTCCCCGGGCTGTTTGGGGGGTAGAAAGAACTGTTGTAATCGATGACTCCGCTGAGAAGGGAAGTTCGAAATTCCACTGCCCATCAGGCCAAGTTATTTCTGTTTTCAATGCTTCAAGTGTTTCGCTTGCGCAGCGAGAGATACTGTATGTGACGGTGGGGGGTTGGGGGGTTGGGGGGGGTGCATCTGAGCAGACGATCAGCCCTCGGTATGGCTGCCGTTGACGCGCATGTTCTCAGCCGTGGGCCACGCTTCTCCACGGCGGTGGATGTGGCTTTGGGAGCTGATGGTGTGATGTTCTACACGGACTCTTTGGATCGGGTCTCTCACACAGGCATAGACACACGGCAGAAGCGCAGCCCCAGCGCAGTCAGATGCGACGTCTTCTGCAATGTTTAAGCATATTTTTCTTCTGCTGGATAAATTCTGGCTTCCGGTAGCTTACTAGCCCAGGACTCTGCACTGTCCGCTATCCAACTTGAAATATACACCCCCCCACCCCCCACCCCAAGACCTCCCCTATTTTGAGTCGTGTGTCAGTGTCTAGTCTGTCTGTCTTTTGTCGAAAGTAATGCTTTATAAGTGATGCCGTAAACATATGTGCTGTGCAGGATGCGAATCGGCACGGGGGCAGTTAGGCCGAGCTTCCAGTGAACAAGCGGGTACAAGTGTAAGCTGCACTGGAGCAGGGGATACACTTTGTGTGTCAGTCTGCGTGTGTGTCAGTCTGTGTGTGTGTCTCTGTGCGTGTGTCAGTCTGCTTGTGTCTCTGTGCGTGTTCATTTCTGCCTGTTTGTGTCTGTGTGGCTGCATTACACAAGCTGCCCCCCCCCTCCTCCTTTACCCGGGGAAACAGGAAATGAGACAGAGAGCAGCCAGCTGCAGGTCAAAGGTCAGCACCCAAGTCGCGGCAGACAGGAGCGCGGTATCCCCGAGCGCGCGGAGCATGTCACAGCGACTGCAGCAGCACGGCGAGGGCCGGGGGGGGGCTGCTCTGTCACAGTCTGAACAAAGCAGCTGTGCACACCCACCCACGCAGGGTTTTCGCTGTATCGCTGACCATCCCAGTTGCAATGGGAGGTAAGGAAGAGGATGACTCATCCTGGAACCCTCACAGCGGGGGGAGGATCCGGGGGGGGGCTGTGCCGATGAGGGAGCCCATTGAGCAGGGGGTGCAGCTGCTCCATGGCAGCTGGGCAGGATTGCCGCCCCCCCGCCAGGGACGTGCGGCACCCACAATCGGCGCAGTGTGCCCCCATTGGTGGAACCCCGGCAAGCCCCCCATGGCGAGCCCCCCACCGTGACCAGGAAGGAGTCCCCTCCCCACCCACCCCCAGCGCCCCCATGCATCTGGCCCAGTGTCTGTGGCACCTCCCCCAGGACCTTGGCGTCCGCAAGCCTGCCGACGGGCACAGAGGGGCTTTTGTTGGTCGGCCGTGTCGCGGATGGGTGGAGATGGACACACACACACACACACACACACACACACACACACACGGGGCAGAGACTCTTGCTGAAATCTCTTGGCTGGTTGTGTTACTCCATGACGCCTGTCCCTCAGAACCGCTTTTATCTGGTCAGAGATGTGTTGTCATGCCCCCCGCTGCCCCCCTAATGCATGGTATCCTTTTAGAAGAAGAAGGAAATGTTGTAAGGAAGGTGGGGGTGTGGTGATGTTTGAGCGGGGAGGGTTTGGTAACGTAGCGGGTTAAGAAGCCCTGTAACCCCCAGTCATGTGACACGTCAGGGAGGAAGAGAGGGCGAGCTGATCGTCTCGCTTGTCCCTCAGACGCCCCCTGCAGGTTACGGGAAGAGGGGTGCCTGGGGGTGGGCACACACACACACACACACACACACACACACACACCATCTGTCATACTCACCTGCTGCGCTTTTGATTTAAATGGAAAGTCACTTAGGTGAAGCACAACAATGGCAGGACGTAAACACCATAAACAGGCACGAGGACTAAAAGGCTTGTAACCACAGCAGGATTTATGGTCAGAGCTGTTCATACACTCATTATTGAAAATAGCATGCAAACCTGCTATTGTTGTTGTATAAAATTCTTATTTTTTGTAGCCTGGCTGCGTGAATTATGCTCGTGCATGCACACCCATGGAACTGGTCTCTGCCAGCCAATTGAATGTTGCCTCCCTTTCTCAATTCTTTAAGCTAGCGCCGCCCACCACGAGTGTCTGGGCCAATCACCCCATTGTCTCTGTGTGTTTCCCTGTCACATGTGACAGAGGCTCGTCCCATTGGCCTTTCTCCCCCCCCCCCTTCAGTCTGATAGGTCAGTATGGAAGGGCACACTGTAAAGCTTTCAAGTAACCTGGGGCAAACCTATCAGTTTCAATAATTGTCTCTAGTTACAAAGAAGTGACGTATTAACAAAGTGGAATTGTGGAAGTAATAAGCTGTTTGTCATGAGTGTGCGATGAAAAATGTGCCTTTTGGGGAATTTAAGAAAAAGAAATCTGATCCTTTACAAGAACTATGTATGTCTTTATGATATAATGTAAAGCGTAAATCTATAAGCCATGCGAGTTATGACATCATCGGTGAGCTGTTAAATAAATCGGATTTTCTGTAGAAGGGAAGGTCCCGGGCTGAAGGACCCCAGTTCAGATTATAACCTTTTGTGACTGCTTATCCATTTGCAGGGGTGTATGCAGGGGCAGGGTCAGGGGGGCGGTGGCTTCCACTGAAATCCGATTAGCCCCTGGAGTGACCCACCGCTGTCACTCACCTGTTCAGGACATATGATTTGCTAATGATAAAGTTTGTATCTTTGCATAAATTGCCCATACGGTGTTCTAATATCAGCTTTGACTAGAATTTCTCTATCTCTCACCTCTCAGGCGGAACCTGACCAAGCTCTCGCTGATCTTCAGCCACATGCTGGCCGAGCTGAAGGCCATCTTCCCCAACGGCCTGTTCCAGGGAGACAACTTCCGGATCACCAAGGCGGACGCCGCCGAGTTCTGGAGGAGGTCCTTCGGGGACAAGTGAGTGTGACAGAAGCATCCGGCACCCCCGAAAGGGATTCCCTTCATCAACACAGAGTTGCCTTACTGCACATTTGTGTTAGGAGGTATCTTATCTAGCAGAGCGTGGTGGAGAGCCTGGAGCTCCGCCAAAGACTGACGATGTGAGTCCACAGTGCTCACTACTGGGGCACCAAAAGTGTAACTGGAGACTGTAGTCTGTCCAGGAATTAATTAGTCAGATTAATGAGTCCCAGTTAGATCCTTTCTAAGCAACGCTCTCGTGGAACCAGATCTTCTAAGCCTCCACACACACAAACGGGGGCATATACAGTTTACATTGTGATTGACAGTGCATGTTAGCCCCGCCCACTGCGGGTTTTATTACCACTAAAATGATCAATTGGAGCGAATCAGTAGCTGAGTGCAGTGGGTGGTGTTAGAACTCGATGGGTTCCCGGTAGCTGTGACTTCCTAGGGTGCTGCGGCCGCGGACCGCTTCCTGTCCCCGGCACGGCCCCCAAACCATGCCCCACCCATTTTCTGCAGGACCATCGTGCCGTGGAAGGTGTTCCGGGGGGCGCTGCACGAGTTCCACCCCATCAGCTCGGGCCTGGAGGCCATGGCTCTGAAGTCCACCATCGACCTCACCTGCAACGACTACATCTCCGTCTTCGAGTTCGACATCTTCACCCGGCTCTTCCAGGTAACCCCTCGCCTTCCTGGTTTGGGGGGGTCCAGATTTTTCTGCCAAGCACTGACAAGAAGCTTCACCCATTGACAGGTTTACGGTTATTTAGTGGTTAAAGTTCTAAAGCTGCTTTGTACTGCCTGGTATTTACATAACGCCTTGATCCGTGAAATACACTACAACAGTCATAGCGTTTGTCAGCCTTCGGGGGGGGGCCTACATTCCTCCGGCTGTCTTTCCACTCGGATGTCGAGTCGTCTACTTCTCTTTTGTGGAGCCTTGTCATCCTTCCTGTTTGTCATCTTTCAGTTTTATTTTGCTGTCTTTGTTTTATTTTGAGAAGTCTGTTGTGATTTTTTTTTCGTTTTTTTATTCATTTTAGTTTTCTAATGGAGCTTTTAGACTACTGTTGATGGCGACTGAGCCACTGTCCAACATGTCAGGCCAAGTCCTAGCTCCGCCTCCCAGCTCCGCCTCCCAGCTCTGCCTCCTAGCTCCGCCTCCTAGCTCCGCCTCCCAGCTCCGCCTCCCAGCTCTGCCTCCCAGCTCTGCCTCCCAGCTCCGCCCCCTTTCTCAGCTGACTGTTGACCCACTGAGTGCTGCAGCATGCAACAGCCATCAAATGCCGGGAAAAGGGCACTTCTGTGATTCTGATCTATATGCCCCTGTCATCATGCCCTTCCCAACTTAATCCCTGGGACTTGTTCTGTGGCATGAGGTCGGGAATGATCTGGGCGCAAGTGGAACAAGGGTCTAAACTTTGCCGCTCAGACCTAACTTGGTCAGTGTACTTGGTCAAAGTGACCCAGCGCAGTCACAGCTCTCTACCCGCCCAAGGGTAAATAATCAAGCGAGCAGAATGATCTCATTGGCCGGCCCGGCAGTAAGCTGGCGTCAGCGTGCGCCAAGCAGCCGGGAGTACTGCCCGGGAGCTTGGCGCCGCCCTTTTGTCCGGCATTCGCTGCGCCGCAAAATAGTTTCACAGAAGCAGAGTGTTCTGTGAAGGGCCCGTGCATCGGGGTCACGCTCCCCGCCTGCATGCCGATGAAGACGAATCGGGGGGGGGGCGCCGGGGGACTTCTCGCAGTTGGACGAGGGGGCGTCAGTTAGCCCAAGATGGCTAACTATGTTTTGAGGGGGGAAGGGGGGGGCTTTCTGTTTATGGTCTCCGGAAAGTAACGTCACAGAAAAGATATCGCATGTCCTCCATGAACGGGTTGAAGATTTTTTTTTTTTTATTATGATTAATTTAATTTTGTGATTGAAAATAAATAGGGGCTGTAAGTGGAAGTGGGGGCTCTTTGATTTGCAGTTTATTTGTTCGAGGAACCTGGTTCTGTTCCTGGAGGGGAGGCTTTGGATCTCCGCTCCATTTCGCCGGCGCTGATCCGAGGCGAGGTTCCCGCTGGGGGCCAATGATGCGTGTTGTACGCCCTCCCTACACCCCTGCGGGTGCTTAAGGGGTGCTGGCCCAATGAGGAAGGGGACCTGCTGGTGGAGGGGGGGGTCAGGGGCGGGGTCAAGCCAATCTCAACATCCGGTGTCAATCTCAGGGGGGTGGACTGGGGTGGGGGGGTCCTGTCCTCTTGAAAGCTCAGCCGAGCGAGAGGATCTGCCCATTCAGAGAACTGGGGGGAATTCAGTGTTATTCTCAGATTCTGCTGGAGGCGGAGCAGCTGGATAAATAATCCCCATGGAGGAAGCGTGACTGTGGGCCCTTTGTGCAGCCTGAAGGCCCTCATTAGCTGTTAGCGAGCAGCCTAGCGCCACAGAGTGAACTGCAGAGTTTAAATAGCCTGGGATATGGAGGGGGGGGGGGGGGACTGACATGTCCCTGTCGATGTTCCCAAAGCAATGAAGTCATGTGCAAGTGCCTGTAAGTCTTTTACCATCCACTCTCCGCCCGCCGTGCCCGGCAAGCTCATGAATTTCATCCTCTTGCTGATAAAATGGCGGCATGAACGCGGATGGAGGGGGGGGGGGGAATCTGAACCGCTGTGTTTAGGTACATGTTGGTTTAGTGATTCATCTTAGCCAGGGGAGTATTCAGGGGCGGAGCCACATGGGTACTGGCCCATGCTGAAAGCTGATTGGGCCCCGAAGTGTCCTCTCCCCTGTCACTCACTGATCAAAAACATATCATTGACTAATGATAGAATTGGCCCCTCTGTTTGAATTATGCTACCCGAAAATCCTAGAACCGCCCCTGTTTTAAGCGAAGATTGGTTTTATATATATCCAATTTTCCAGAGACTGATACTTTGTTCACGTTCCCACAGCGATAAGGATATATGATGTTATCTTTTGGTGTGTAGTATCGGTTACGGTAGGTAGGGGACGTGACCTCTGGATGTGGATATGGCGTCTGTGCCCCTGTTACTGTCCCCCGCTTTCAGCTAGGGGCGCAGGTGCGTATCCAAGCCAGGGAGGCCCTGGCACGTCTGTGGGGGTGGGGCCATAGGTGCACTGGCCTCAGCTGAAAGCTGATTGGTCCCCAGGGGTAAACATGCTGTCTTTCTGCGGCAGTGCTGTTTCGAAGGAGGGGGCAGACCAGATGCTGGGAGCCTTAGCGATGGGCCAGCTGCGGGCTGCGCATCTCAATTCCAGACCGTTGGGCGTCGCACATCAGGGAGGGGCCTGTGGGATATGCTGGTTAGCGCCTTAGCTGGTTTTAGCTGCCGTGTTTGGTTTGGCCAGCCCGGTACGTGCCGGCGAGCGTGCGAGCCTGGGCGGCTGCGTGCATCCTCAATTGCGTCTTTGTTTCACGCTTGACGCGAAGGGGCTATATTTGGACTAGGCAGTACAGGATGTTCTGATATGCTAATTAAGGGGGGAGGGGCTGCAGCCGCCACATCTGCCTTGATGTCAGGGTTTGGGTGGGGTGTGACGGCCCCCGGCATGACGCTTTCGGCGTGTCTGTGTGTTGCCCCCCCCAGCCTTGGTCCTCGCTGCTGCGGAACTGGAACAGCCTGGCGGTGACCCATCCGGGCTACATGGCGTTCCTCACGTACGACGAGGTCAAGGCACGACTGCAGAAGTTCATCCACAAGCCCGGCAGGTAGGAGGCCACGCACGCGCACCAGGGGGTGATATAAGGATTTTTTAAAGTGGGGGGGGGAGGGCTATAAGAGGGGCCATAATTTATACAAAGGAGCCAGTCATTTCATGAGCCAATGATGTGCTTTGAATCGTTGAGTGACAGGGTACTCTGGGGGCCAGTCAGCTTTCAGCTATTCCTGTGGTCCCACCCCTTGTGCCCATCACAATACACACACGCCTGAACTTCCCGGCCCCCTGAGCTCACCCTGCTCTCCATCCGCCCCCTTCCCAGCTACATCTTCAGGCTGAGCTGCACGAGGCTCGGTCAGTGGGCCATCGGCTACGTGACGGCGGACGGCAACATCCTGCAGACCATCCCCCACAACAAGCCCCTCTTCCAGGCCCTCATCGATGGATTCCGGGAAGGATTGTGAGTTTGGGTGCCCCCTCATGGTTGATTCAGACGGCATATTTGCCTAAAGGTGCAGAGGTCGGTTTCTGATGTGTCCTTGCGGTTTTATCAGATGAGGGAAAAAATCTCAGAGAATGAAATTCGACATGTTTCCCACAATGCCCTATTCTCTGCCAATCATTTTGGCTCTCAGTATGTGGTCAGGCCCTGTTCTGACTTTGTTTTGGCCAATGAATACACATATATTTTAGTTTGTTTCTTGTTCCTCGTCTTTCCATTTTTGACGGTATGTGACCAGTTCATATGAAGAATGTGAAAGTAAATATTTTGTCTTTAGAGACAAATGGACTCTGTCAGGGGTTGAAAGCAAAAGTATTTTTAAGTCTGTACCCATGATGCTAATTTTGGAATTCCATCATTCTGATTGGTCACTGTGAATGAGCAGGAATTCTGTAACCAATCAGAAATGCAGCAGCTGACACGCCCCCTTGCTTCTCCTTTCCCTTCCAGTTACCTGTTCCCTGACGGTCGTGCTCAGAACCCAGACTTGACTGGACTGTGCGAGCCGTCACCGCAGGACCACATCAAAGTCACGCAGGTGGGTGTGTCCCTGCCGTCGTCACGGCAATGTGGCATTTCGTGCTGCATCCGGTCCCACCAGCCTGACGTCGCGTGCGTCCGTCCCTACAGGAGCAGTACGAGCTCTACTGCGAGATGGGCTCCACCTTCCAGCTTTGCAAGATCTGTGCCGAGAACGACAAGGACGTGAAGATCGAGCCATGCGGGCACCTCATGTGTACGTCGTGCCTCACCTCCTGGCAGGTAGGGGGCGCCCTTCCCCACAGCCCTCTCCCCAGCTACTACAGACCCCCCCCCTGACCTTCTCCCATCTCTTCTTTCCCCAGGAATCGGAGGGCCAGGGCTGCCCCTTCTGTCGCTGCGAGATCAAGGGCACGGAGCCCATCGTGGTCGACCCCTTCAACCCCAAGGACAACAGTGGCGGCTGCTCTGGCTCCTACGGCATGGAGGGCGTCCCCTCCCCCGGCTTCGACGACGACGATGACGACCGGCTGGAGGACCCCCACCTCATGATGAGCAACATGGCATTTACCGGGGTATAAATCCGCTGTGGCACCCTGCCTTCCACATATGCATGTCAATCCAGCTCAGGCCGATTAAACCCTCCGCTGTCGCTACAGGCTGTAGCAGATTTTGCTCCTACATGTGGGATGTGCTTTGTGTGACCCCCACACAAGATGCAGATGTGTTGCTCAGAGGGTTAGGGACGCTGTGCCTGTGATCGGAAGGTTGCCGGTTCTAATCCTGGAGTCGGCAGAGTGATTTCACTGTTGGGTCCTTGATCAAGGCCCATGACTCCCAGTTCCTCCAGGGTCTGGTTCACTCTGCTCTCAGATAAAAGCACCTGCTAAATAAATTAAGTGTAATGCCATCCACCTTAGAGGATAATGTGAGAGAGACTGTCCGAGGTTTGGGCGATGCTATATCTAGGCTTGCGACCTCCGACCCGCACCTGCGCTAACCTGACCGCATCACTTCCTGAAGGTGGAGCGGCCCTCCTCCCCCATTTCCATGGCACCCCAGGCCTCCCTGCCCCCCGTTCCCCCCCGCCTTGACCTGCTCGGGCAGCGACCATCCAACCAAGCGGGGGCCTCCAGCCCAGGCGCTACATCCAAGGCAACCCCCCCCCCCCCCCCACCCACATACAAGATGTAGTGAGATCAGTGCCGGTCATTCCTGATGTTTTGAGCCCCATTCAAATCAAGGCTTTAATAATCAGCTTCATCTTTTAATGGTTAAAACGATGGTTTTCCAACATTTTTGAGAATTAAATACTCTGTTTACTTTAGAGTGTGGAATTGGGGTCTCATTTGCCCCTCATACCTCTCTTACTCACAGGCCCAATCGCATCACAAGGACAAGCCCCTCCCCCTGCCCCCATCCTTAAGGGACCTCCCCCCACCTCCGCCTCCTGACCGCGCCCCCCTGTCGGCTGGCACCGAGGGGCGCCTCCAGCGGCGGCCCCTGCCCAGTACCCCAGGGGAATCCCCCCGTGACAAGCTGCCCCCAGTGATGCCCCCTAGCTGCGGCATGGCGGACTGGAACACGCGGCCGCCGCCCAAGGCCCCAGCACAGGTGTCCAGCTCCCGCGAGCTATCGAACCGGCATTCCCTCCCGCTGGCCCTGCCATCTGCGCTGGATGGGCGACCTGACGGGCGTTCTGACCCACTGAAGCACAGCTGTTCCCTAACCCTGGACCACCAGATGGTAAGACATACATCTCAACATCGCCATCTATAGGACGGCTCTGGTAGTGCACTGGCCTCATTTGACCAGGGCTGCATACCGTATGAATCTGGCCCCGCCTCTACCGGCGTGGAGCCTTCATGTCTGGGTGGACGAAGCTTCTGATGGTAGTGTCCTTGTACCGTATTTTCCTTCAGAATAGTGGAGGTGTGGCATCAGGCAGCCATGAGTACGACAGCCCCAAAGTAAAGCCCTGCACATCTATAAATGCCCTTTACGCCGTCACCAGCAGGTACGTGTGCTTACGTGTGCATACGTGTGCTTACGTGTGCTTACGTGTGCATGCCCATATAAATCCACGGTTTTTTTATGTGAATCCCTCTGATGCCCCTCCCTTCTGATGCCCCGCCCCCTGCCAGGCCACACCCACTCCTGAAGTCACTGACAGCAGAGGAGGGTGGTGGGAATGAAGAGGATACAGAATACATGAGCCCGTCCTCCCGCCCTGTGCACCTGCCCGTGGGGGACGTGGTGCCCAGACCCCCCCGGTCAGCACTCCCGCTAGCAGTTAATCTCTATCATTTGCATGGCGTCTAATCACATCTGTAATTTCCGGCTCTTATTTCCTGCGTGTGTAGGATGTCCCGGCCGGGCCTAATTGGCTTCTTCTTCCCTGTCTCTCTGCAGGTCGATGCTGGCTGATCTGGATCCCGAGGGGCCGCAGACGTACGAGGCCATGTACAACATCCAGGGCCATTTCCTCACGGCCCAGCCACACCAGGCCAGGGACTCTGGTACGTTGCCCATCTGCTCAGCAGTGCCGTCAGCGTGAGCCAGCAGGGCTCTCAGGCTGTGTAGTGAGACCCCCGGAGGGAGAATCACGAGGTAGAGCCACATGTAGTACAGTCCTGCTTTCATATAGTGTGGAATAAGAGATGTGCACCCCCCCCCACGCTGGGAGGCATCAGCGATCCGGCCGGGGGTATGTGCGTCGATCTTGTTAGCTCTGAGCTCCCAAAGCCTCAGTTGGGCTGATAAATTACATCCACATCTCTCACAGGTTGTAACTTTGACTTACAGGGTAGTAATACGTGTAATGAAATAAAGGCTAATCTTTCCTAATGCAGGTCTGTGCGCTTCCTTATTTTTATAATAGGGTGTCCAGATAATCCGTGTCAGCGAGGACACTATGAGCTGCGACAGGATTTGTGAACTACCATTTCAATTAAAAGGACCCAGTTTTCCCTTAAGCACTGAGTTCTTGCTGAGTACTGATTGGTCAGTCTCCTGTAATCATGCATGTGTCACTAATGTTAATGTGAAACAGCTGAACGAGTCTTTCAATCAAGGAACCAAACCAGCCAAAGCACAAGAACACCTGAACTAATTAGCCAAACACTGGTGCCTTTAGGTTTTAAAGTAGTTGGTAGCTCAACCTGAAGTAGCTCAAAGTGTCCCTGCAGACATGGGTTATCTGGCCACCCTGCCGTATAACGTATATCTTATGAATAATATGGCTGTTGTCAGTATTATTTGATTGAATGTTTAAGTGCTAATAACATTTATGATATATGCATACATTGTATTATTTTTTAACAAAAAAGATTGATATTTTAAAACAGCTGAAAACTTGATTGATTAACCCGTGTTTCAAAACCCCAGTCCACAGTGACCCCCCCCCCCCCCCCCCCACATATTTGCTCCCTCCCAGCTCTCAGTCCATCTGTACCATGTATTTGGTGATTTTGATTGGCTGAGAGCTGGGAGGGAGCAAACATGTGGACTGTCTGGGGGGGGGTCACTGTGGACTGGGTTGAGAAACGCTGATCTAAACCAATCAAGTGAGCAAATCAGGCCAGACCGTAGATGGGGTGTGGATGAAGATGAGGGAGTGACATTTGTAGCCCTGAGTCACACAAGGTGACATCAGAGGGTGACATCAGAGGGTTTGCCCACAGCCTGTGCTGACCCCTGTGACCCCCCATGTTGCACTCAGACTACTCAGATTTGCCCCCAGTGGCCAGCACCAATGGCCCTCGGTTACCCCCGCCGAGTGATGACATCGCCGGTGAGAATGGCTACGACCTCCCCAGGCCGCCACTGCCTCAGGGGGCTGCGCGCCGCACTCTGTCTGACATCGGCGGCACCTCGGCCTCCTTTGCCCGCCTGTCTCTGGACAGCGAGCCTGGTGGATCTGGTGAGTGGTGCCCCCTGGTGCCCGTCCTTGGTACTGCAAGCAACCTTTAGCTTAGCACTCATCGCACCTCGTTGATGTGAAGCTTTAAGGAAGCGTGCTACTATTTGGATTGAGTCAGCAGTTCCTCTTCGTTGTACCACGTTTGCTCTCTCTTTTTCTTATCAGGCTTTTGTGAGTCTGGCCTGGCACCGGAACGACCCCCCAAGCCCCTGCCCCGCAGGATCAACTCCGATAGGCGGCAGAGCCCTGTGCCCCCTGGGGGTGGAGCTGGGGGCGGGGCCATTGGGGTAGGGGCCAGCCCACAGATCACCAGTGAGATTGAGCACCTCATGAGCCAGGGCTACTCCTACCAGGACATCCAGAAGGCGCTGATGATCGCGCAGAACAACGTGGAGATGGCCAAGAACATCCTGCGCGAGTTCGTCTCTATCCCGTCCGCCGCGCACATCCTCACATAGCGCCCTCCCCACGGCTGGCCAGCTGCCACATCAACCACCAACCCCTCCCCTCCGACAACAACAGCTTCGGTTAGCCCACGACTGGGAGGCTTGCTAGTCTGCTTTCGGCACGAGCGGCAGACGCCCGCACGGTCATGTGACACAGATGAGTGAAATGATCTGGAGATCTGGTGGACTGGCTTTCACCTTGGGGTGTAGCTGGGTCCTCTTCCTGTGGGAGACTGTGGGAGCTTTCCGCTGCGCCCTCCCCTGGCGATACAGTGGTACTGTGACGGATCGGAGGTTTGTACACAATGCCCAGGAGCCCATGAGTGAGCCCAGTATGGCTGCACTGTATGGAGTGCCATTTTGCTTCTGCAGTATTTAAAAAAAAATATATATATTTTGAACGTCTTGTCGTGAAACGTGTCGTTCAGGAGTTTTTGGGAGTCTTGGTCTGTTTTTGGTCTGTTTTTTTTTTTCCCTGGAAGCTACACTCAGCAGACTTGACTGGCGCTCTGTCAGCTCCGTGTTCATACAGGGTGTTTAATAACACAGTATCCCCCCCCAGCCCCCCCCCACGTGTTGGCATAATCTCCTAGGTGTGGGCTTATGGCTCAAACCAGCTTTGGTCACAGCCCCCTCAGGAAAGGTAGACGGTACTGCCGCAGGGGTGTTTACAAATCTTTTTATTTTCTCATCCCTCTCTGACGCTAGTTTTTCGTCCGCCAGGCTTAAACAGAACAATATAGTGGAAGGAAAAACTTGACAGTCGTAGATGTTGACGTCTCACTCATTCTGTGAGGGGTCCAGGAACGCTGCTTGTGCGTGAATGTACACCCCCACATCTTGCTTCATCGCCAGTTGTATCAGAATTACCCCTGTCCAGGAGGAGGTGCTGTCCGACCACAGAAGTGTCACGGATTACAGCTCCCTCCCCCCCCGACCTCTGATCATCTTACACCTGTCCTGAGGATCAATTTTACACAAGAAAACATTTATTTGTGACTTAGTTTAGCTTCTAAACTTTAACATCATTTAATTTTCTAACCCTGACTCCTAATGGGCATTTTTTTCTTGGGGGGGGGGGGGTTGAACAAAAACAAGAGTACTGAAATGTGGTAGAAAGGACACAAGAAGGAGGATTACCTTTTTTATTATTGTTCTAGCTGTTGGAGGACCTGTGCGTCTGGGTTATCAGCCCTGCCAGGATCTAACTCCCAGAATTGTTGTCGTTTTGAATCTAAAGTGCTTTACTGCTGCTGCCGTTGTTTGTTAATGCTAAACACGTAAGCCTTACGTGTGTATTTAGAAATCCCGTGTGGCGTGGTCCTGATTGTGTTGTTTTTAAAGTGACAGTATCCCTGCCCCCATCACATGGCTTGAAAATACTTGAACGTGTCAGAAGCATCGCAGACTTCACCACAGAAAGCTGAGCCGAGTCGCCCTTCCATCTCGCCTTGGACGATCAAATGTGAGAAATTGGATGTTCGTGCGACTCGAAAATGCAGAAAAGGCCAAGAGTTGACACTACCTCATTTAAAAGTGAGTCCTTACGTTCAATACTATTCCGATCGCCAGGCTGGCCGGAAAGCAGGGTCGATTTATACATAATTCCAAAACTGTTCGGGTCAGTTATCAGAAACGGCAACAAGTAGCCACGTCGTTGATGTACTGAAATTCCCCTAGTTTAGTGGGAGATGTGTGTGTTTATGGCCTCAGGAATAAATACTGCCTGGCCTAAATACCGTTCCCTTGCCACTCTAGTTTACCCCACACATATCAGTAACGAAATGCCATCATCGGTAATAGGAATTTAAAAGCACTGAGCGCATGCGCATTCATTGCGGGGACTTGTTTCCATGGTGACGGACGCCACCTGGCAGCCCAGTGTTCCAGTATGGTTCCGTTCCCGGTGCAAGTTCTTGGCTTTGGTCTTGGTCCACTGCGCGGTTTTTGTCCCTCTGTCGTTGCCTTAGGGTTCGTTCTCGGGTTCCCGTTGTTTTGATTACTGTATTCGTGTATGTAGATGTACGATTTGCGTTGAATTTACGTGCTTGTGCGCTTTCTCCTGACCGCATTTTTTTGCGATTTCAGATACTGTCACTTTAAACGCAGGTGTATGAACTTACTGAACATTTAGCTCATTGTAATTATTTACTTATCTGACCAATAATGTGAGCAGTGCCATAATTTTAAATAATAATAAATTCCAGAATTTTCTCTTGAAGCATTTTGTTCCTATACTGCCACTTACGCCTCCAGATACAACGCAATGCACATAATGTAATATCAGCAATTCTGTGTTGTGCTCGCTGAGCTGTAACACGCCTCGTGGAGTCAAGGGTAACGTGGCATGTTGTGATGTTTAATTACATTACGAGGACACTTTTCCATTGTTGCCATAAAGTCCTTGTGCTAACTATTTAGTTTTTTTGTAATTTTTTGTAATTTTATAATGAACAATAACACGTGCTTTATACTATAACATAACGAATTCATAAGAATTGTGTAAAAAAAAAATGAGCTGATATCATTCTGAATGCTTGAAGATGGAGCAATTCTCCGCTTCATTGATTTGATTGCTTTTTGTGGGTTTTGCGTCCGAGTCTCCGATTCTCCGATGTAAGCCTAGTCGTCTGGTACATATAGGCATGGTTTCATGTACACTGATGTAACGATGTCAGTTATAATATTTAAACCTACCTGGTTTAGAGGTTTAGTGAGCACTATAATGACCTCAAATTATTTATCCTCTGATATGAAGTGGAAATTTTGTAATATTTTTGACAGCACAGGGACTGATAGTGTTGACTGTTTCGATTTTTTTCCTTTCTTTGGAGAGCTCTCAAATGTTTGGGACTGAAGAGGCAGTGACCGGTATTAGTGTGAATGTACTTATGGTACGTTTCTTTAGGTCAGTGTTACTGATACACCGCCGCCGAGTGCCGTGGTACAAAAACGGGTTTGCGGAAAGATTCCGGGTGGAAAAGCCGTTCGTGCGCCACCCTCCCCGTGTCAGGCGAGCCATTCCCTGGCGATTTGTCTGAATATGGAAGACCATATTCACAAGACGGAATCGCTACACAAAAAAGCGCCTTTTTTTTGGACATAACAAGTAACAATGAACGTCGCAGCACGAGCTTGCTGAAGTTGTACTTTGTAGTACTTGTCGGACCTTGTGGAAATCACAGACATTGTGGCCAGTCCTTGTGCAATTAAATGTTGTCTCTACAGAGGCGCGCTTTTCCTTGATTTAAGTATATGAAATGATGTGCGCTCCGTAAAAGCGCGTGTCCGTGCGCGGTCATTCAGGCGTGGACGAGGCGCGCTCATCTGATCCTTGCAGCCTCACGTAGCGGACGGCGCTCTCCTCCGCAAGTAGTTGGACCTTCCGATTTCAGAGTAATCCCGAGCCCCTGAAAATATGTTCATTGTAGCGAAGCATAGCTCAATGTGGGCAGTGATTTACTGAACAGGCATTTCTGGAAATGCTGTTTAACCAGGCAGACTGCAGGGCTAAGACTCAACAGAGCGTGTTTCTAACATAGTAAAAACGTATCATTATTCCTGTAACTGTTATTGTGCTTTAAAATAAGTTAATATCGATTCATATAATATATCAGTGTTAATGATCTTTGGTTGTTATGTTTATAAAGAATAAAATGTGTTAATGTGTGGAAAAGTTGACTTTTTTTATTTTAATTCTTCTGCAGCTTGTACAAACCAGAAAAAGTTATCATAAATGCGAGAAATTTCTCTCTATAGGTCTTTTCATAAAGAATATTACAGTTTATTTTTATTACATTTTTTCATTGCATTCATGCGTAGAAATAATTACTAATGTTATTTATTAATTTTATGATGCTGTACCCCAATCGAAGATGCATAATGTTTTGTGTCCCTGGAATTTTTTGCACCAGTCATTAAAGCATTTTTGAATATGTGTTTGTGGTGTCCTCTCTGTCCCCCCCCCCCCCCCCCCCCCCCCCCCCCCGCATTGTCTGTCGACATTTATCATGATCAGTTCGCAGCCTCCCTGACCTGAATGCCTTTAAGAACAAATGATGCAGAATATGCTTCATAGCGGACTTCTCCGGAGAGCCGTGATGATGATGATTTAAGGTGAGGCGTCACGTCGTGGATTGTTACGTTCTTCTCAATTCCCTGTTATTAAAATTACCGCAGACTCAGTTTCGCAACATGAACTTGACTGGAATGTTTCAACTGTAACTATAATGCTTTGAACTGAACGTCCTGTCACTCCGATTTCTGCAGTGAATTTGGGTTTAATCCGATGTGCGACGCGACCTCAGTCTGCGTCCAGAGATAACAGCAAATTTTAGAGGGCATTATGTTTTTACTCATCTACATGACTCTTTAATAAGTCCTGTTATTCCTTGAAGAGGACCGAGCTAGGCTTAATTTAAGATTTAAGATGACATCTCCTATGTGGCTATGTGACTTTGCCAACTTCGCCATCCTCTCAAATCAAAATTTTAATCATTATTAAAATATCTTTTCCCCACTAGAATTCGGTAGGAAAGTGACTGCAAAAGGTATTTATATGATTATGTTTTTTTAATTTTCTTGCCGTATATTTTACACGTTGACGCTTAGCGCTACCGTCAAACTACATACCTGTTGTATGATTCTCGTACTAACTGTGCTGAACAAGCCTGTTGTTTGATTGTGAACAGCAGGTAGGCCTGTCCATTCCATTTGTGCACCGTGGAAACGGGGGACATCTGTTATCTAGTCAGACATGGCTCATGGTTTTATGCTGTTCTCAATCAGGAGCAGACTGATTTATGAAATTGGCAACACCAACGGATGGTATCAGTGTGTCTTAAAGAGACAGACTCTGGTTTTTAAAGTAATGGTAGTTTTTATTTGGTATGTTTTTTCCTCTAAAGAATTTGTAAAAAAAAAAAAATGCAACCATTGTTCAACAAAGGTTTTATGCATACACGTCTGTCTAAAAACATTGAAAAATATGAAAATTTACCAGGGTCCTGTACACATGCATGCAAATAATCTTTCCCTTTCATTTAAAAGCAGGATGTTTAAAATTGGGAGATTTATTTTTTATTTTTTTTTACTCTCTAAAAATATTTGCAAGGCAGATTTGCGATGGTGTCCTCTCTGGATAGAGGTCCAGAAATCTGGGATTGGATGTGGGGGGGGGGGGGAGGTGTATAAAACATCAGGCTGACCAGTGTCAATGGGGTTTTTTGACTCACGACTGTCAAGTAAGTACAGCGATGCTGGAATTCAGGAATTGGGAACCTCCAGACTGACTAAGATGATACATGAGAAACATCTCAACCATGAGGGATTTCAATCACCCTAAATATGACAAGTCACTGTAACATCTACAAGAATGGATGTGGGTGAAAAACAATGAACACCTTCATTGGTTCCCAGAGCTGTTTCCGTTCCAGCTTCGGCAAAATGGGATAATGAACTGTATGAGCACTACAAAATAAATCATACTTACAAATGATATTGGAGAAAATAACAACGATTGAGAATTTTAATTTGGAATTTATCCCTGGAAGCGGGTCCCTTTTTTAGTTTGTGGTTTTCTTCCTTGATAGCAAACAAAAAGGTGCTTTGAGAAGCAGTGGTCGACAGGCCATGATTCCAGTGATGGTCAGTGAGGCAGATGTGCCTGTCAAATTTGTAATTCACTGCTTTTGGCAGCAAGCAGTCAGGAAATGCACAATCCACAGTTGAAAGAGAAAACTTTGCTTATGGGAGTTTTACTTACACAAAAATGATGTGAGGGCAGAAAGAAAAATGATTGGTTTAGAGAGAAAACCAATCAGATTGTAGAGAAGGTGGGACCAACCAGTCGGATGTCTAGTTCCCCCTCGTGTAGTTGCTTGGACCCACCTCCTCTACAATATGATTGGTTATCTCTCTGAAACAACCATTTTTCATCCTTCCCTCGGTGTAAGTAGAACTCCCACAAGCAAAAACGTCATTGCGTCACTGTGATTTGACGACCATGACTGATCACAATTTGAACCTTAAGCCCGGAAAAGATTCTTAAAGATATAAGTTTAACATGATTACAAGTTTTCAACAATAAACTATTCTGACATAGAATGGAAGATAGGGTAGTATTTGTCCTTCAAGGGCCTTCAAGGTCATTCTTTAGTGATGGTTTTAGTCCCAGCTTACTTTGGGTGCTCATACATTTTCTTTTCATGTATATCTGTTTTTTTTCCAAGATGTTGGTTGGACTATGACTGACTGAACTCCAGGTTATTCATCTTTTGTGTACCACAGATCCTGACCTACAGAGGCTAACCTGGGCCCTGTTTCACAAAGCAGGATTTCTTTCTTATCCGAATAACTTGTTTTGGATTTAAGGTAGACTGGGCTAAATGTATTTGAACAATGATGAAGTCCATCTAACTCTGACTACCTTAAATCTGGCTAAGCAAGAAATCCTGCTTCGTAGAACAACCCCCCCAGACACTGCACACTGAAGGAGCACAATGCAAAGCAATCTTATCACTGGTGTGTTCACACACCCCCCCCCCACACACACACACCCACCACCCGAAAAAACAAAACTGAAAGATAAAGAACACAAAATGTTTTAGTGTGGCTAACATTTTCACAGGGAAAATTTTAAACCGAAAGTGACATTTTGACAAACACCAAGCCTCAGAGTTCTAAACACAGCTAAAACACAGATGCAGAAAGATCATTGGATGAAAACCACAGCTATTTTTTTATACTTTTGTTTTTTAACGCTACAGCTATTTACAGATAGTACAAAAACCTGACAGTAGTTCACAGAAGAAAAAAACACATAACTCCATTTTTTTTGGATTAAGTAGTCATTACAAGATCCTGAATTCCCAAATGCAATACCTCTCACCCCAAATCAGATGGCAGTATTCCTGTATTCCTCTGGCTTCCTCCCCTTCTAACAGTCCACAGGGGTGTTGGATTCTATGTAGCCCAGATAATCAAGGAATTCCTCTAATGCATTAGTCTCTTGCTCCCAATTCTGTGTGCCCCCCCCCCCAAAAAAATAAAAAAATAAAAAATCAAACAAGGACGCTAAGCAGGATGTTATGAAGTTACAGATTTTTTGGGCAACATTAGGACTTCATCTGTGACTCACATAAAATGATACAGTGTAATATACTCAGCAGTAGACATCATATGCAGGAATAACCAGCACTGAATCAGTCTGGCCTGGCTGGACATGAAGAGGAATCCATTTTCCTTCCAAATAATGGCCCATTTTAGAGAGCCTGGCTACAGCTTCCAAATAAACACGGTGTTGTGAGAGTTCCTGAAAGTTTGCATTTAAATAACTAAATATATATAATATGTACATAAAATTACCATAAATGGTGGATCAGTTTACACTTGAGATGGCAATTGGAGTTTGTAGGAAAAAAAAAAGACTCGCAGAAACGTATAAAAAGCCTTGGAGTGAAAGCTGACGGAACAAAAAGAACCCCCCCCCCCCCCCCGTGTGAACTGAATCCCACAACCGCGTGCCACGATATAAAAAAGAATTTGGCCACCCCAAGTCCCTCCCATCTCAGCCCCTCCGGCAGCTGATGGCTTCCCCGTGTCGCCATGTTCCTTGTCTTCCTCCTCCTCTTCCTCCCTCTAATTCCTCACATCCATGTACTTCTCACCCTTTACTCCAGGAAACAAAAAAATACATCGGGTTGGGGGGGAGAGAACAGTGTACACGTGAACGTCATGTTTCTAGGGACTCCGTGGATGTTCTGTTGAACTTTTTAAACGCAAAGCGGAAGCATAGGACGCAGCGCCGGCCGATACCTTTTCAGAATTCTAAGCAAAATTTGAGTAACCTAGCTGTCATTTGTCATCTTTCTTCCCAATCTGATAGGCTGAGCAGATAGAGCGCCCCCTGGTGGCCGCTGGGCCCTAAGCAGCTGCCTACTTCACCTATGCCTTGGGGCGGCTCTGCTTTCATATCATTGGCTCTGTTATCATGGTGGGAAAGTGGAAAAACTCCCTCGAGTGGAATGATATGCGATTCGTCATCTACAGTGTTTCCTAGGTATCCTGATCATTCTTTAGCTACTGTGGAGACAGAACATCACAGAGACCAAAGTCCTAAGATAGATGAAGCTCTACACATAGTTACATCCCATGGCCTCTGGTTTCTATAGCTACCTGGTCAGCAGGGACTTTCTTTTCACCATTGACGCCCTTTAGAAGAACAGCCGCCTCATTCTTCTCTGACTTCATTTCCACCACGATTTCCGCTTTGTTGGTCTTCTCCGTGGTGCTGCAGAGAAGCAAGTTTCATACTTACTGCCAGTGTCTCTACACCGCACTAACCTCAAAGAGCTAAACTTGATAAATGCTGTAGTACACATAGCACTGGTTTCACTAGACCTTTCCAACACTGAGGTGAAGGTGACCCAACAGGACGGAAGATGCACTCACATGTCCTGCTTGCCCGCATGACCACAGGGGATCTTGCCCTTCTTGTACAGGAAGTACAACACGCTACCCAGGATGGCCAACAGGAGTATGCAGACAATAATGACCACAATGATGATGCCGTTGCCCTCTAGTGGATAGAGAAAGAGTCACAGGTTAGTGTCCCTTGGGAGATGCATTGCAAAATCACACAGCCCTACATTATTTCCACCTCTAGATTATACTTAATCTCCACAGCTGGCAGTCAAACCATTTTGCCGAAATTCAGGTACTACACAAAGATGAGCGTTTGAGCTCTGCTTCTTAAGAGTAACCTAAACTGATGTCAGTTGGTTACATTAACCACAAGGGGGCAGTCTGGCCCTCTGCATCTACATAGGTCAAGCAGCCATCGGTGCCTTTTTGTTTTGGTGTTTCTTGCATCTATTTCATGTATGGGCTGCAGAAGAATCTCCCTACATAGTATAATGTATTTGCAAAGGTTTCAAAAATACGTAGTGATGGGAATTGGTCTGATTGTGTGCCTGGCTACGGACTGGCATCTCCTTGCTTCTCTGCGCTACTTTGGAAGGCTACAGGCACACTGTTCACCACAGGAGGTTCTCACACTACATTGTCAAGCCACAGCGGGACTGGGGCGGGGTCCCTTTGAGTGACACGTTTTCTGACCAATCGCAGACAGCGGCTGCAGAGCCTGATGGGATCATGATAAATGGTAAAAGTGCCAGATCCACAGCATGCCGAACGAACGCCCACTACAAAGTCAGCCGACGTCTCCTGCGGGCCGGTGTGAAGGCACTACAAAGAGCCATTCTTATTCTGCACTGTGATGCCATTGTTCCATTCTATTCATACTCACCCTTGTAAAAGACTCAACAAAAGTCTGGGAATGCTTTTTATGGACAAAGCGACCGCACAAAATTCATAAAACAATGCACCGGTCCTATGTCTCTAGTAACAGCGGTCTTGGTGTTTTTGTGAGCTAAGGGTTACACATAATTTAACTCAATTTATACATTTAGCCGGGAAAATCGTTTTTTGGCTTGTGGGTTGCTTCCAGAACACTGCTCCCTGTCCCGTGAATGGGTCCGCGGGCGTTCAATTGAGGCGATCTGTCCGCCCGTCCGCAAACCGCTTCCGCTGGCCGAAGTCACAGATTCCTCAGCTGGCTCCAAGGAGATGTTTTTTGTCTTTTTTTCTTCTTTTCAATAAAGTTGTGTGTAGCAGAAAGTCAAAGTGTTTTCCCCACGGGGCCTGATCTACTATAGAGCCTAGATTTTTTTTCTCTTCCCCCAGACAAGTGATGTTGGTGTATTATCTCACCTGTGCTGTTGACAGCAGCGGGCGTTACCAAGGGAACTGTAAAACACAGCAGTGGTATTACCTCCCTGTTGAAACGATGCTTACATCCACAGTATATTCATATAGTCAAAAAAATAATATTTACACAGCTATATATACAGTCAAGTCCAGAAGTATTTGGACAGTGACACAATTTTTATAATTCTGACTCTACGCCACGACAATGGATTTGAAATGGAGTGACGCAACTGTCGACTTTCAGACTTAATTCAAGGGTTTTAACAAAAATATTACTCAGCCATTTAGGATTTACAGCCATTTTTATACACAGTCCCCCCCATTTTCAGTGGCTCAAGTAATTGGACAAATGAACATAATCATAAATAAATGGCTGAAATAAATCGTTTTAATTCTAGTCCGTTACGGTATGGACCTAACTGTACTTCAGTAATTAACTGAAAATATTTAATAGTGTATTAAGCAAAAAAAAATTAAAATATATATTTTTATAAAGGTAAATCTCTGCTACTAATTTATAACCAATAAAAAAAAAAATCAAGAGTAAGTTGCAGTAACTCCTAGTCAGCACTGGGGGAGCTATGTGCCACTAGTCACTCAGTGGGTGGGACTCACTGGCTGTGATGCTGAAGGACTTCCCCTCCGCGCCCAAATGGTTGGTGGTGTTGCAGGAGGCGGTGATGTCAGAGGTCACCTTGACGGTCACCACGCTCTGAACCCAATTGGTGGTCACCTTGCTGGACACCTCGCGCCAGTTCTGGCAAACAAGCACAAAATGGGGGACCGTCAACAGTTGCATGTCTATTGTCCCCAGCAATAGGAATGGCACGGGGCACAACAGGGCTTCTCGTGGCCGACAGGCACCATCTGGACAACTGACTGCCTCTTTTCATAGTCACTGGCTTCGAATCCTGCCATTGGGACCTTGTTGGGTTGTGTGTTTCTAAGTTTAATAACACAGTCTAACACTTTTGACAGGGATTTACTGCGACTCATTGTAATCTGTAGCATATTTTTCCCACGAGAATTTTAAACATAGAAAATTAAAAACTGGAACAAAGAATACGTAGATTTGATAAAGGATAACTGGTATGCATTATGTAAATAAATCCCTAAATAAAAATATGCAATATGGCTAAAAGTATGTGGACACCAGCTCGTTCAACATCTCATTCCAAAACTTGATATGAAGTTGGTTGGCCCATTGTTGCGATAATAGCCACTACTCTTCTGGGAAGGCTTTCCAATAGATGATGGGATTTTCTGCCCTTCAGGCTGCATTAATGCTGGGTGATCAGGTCCCTTTCAGTAAGCTTGTGTGGCCAGAAACTTCACAATTATTTCACTTGTGGTTGACCAGGGCAGCTCTAGCAGGGCAGAAATGACAGTGTTCTGTGTTGGTGCCAAGTTACTAACCTACAACCACTCATTCTGCTGCTAATGTTTGTCGATGCCAGGCTGTGTGCTTACTTACAGTACATACATGTGTCAGCCATGCACGTGGCTTAAGTAGTCAATTCTTTTAATTCAGTGTTTCCCAACCCGGTCCTCAGTGACCCACAGTCGGTTCACATTTTTGCTTCCTCCCAGCACCTTGCCAGACAGTCCACATTTTTGCTTCCTCACAGCTCCTGGAGCAAAAATGTGAATTTTCTGTGGGTCCCCGAGGACCGGATTGAAAACCACTGCTTTAATTAAGGGTGTCCACATAGTACTGTGTTTGCCAAAAGCATGGTAGGGCGGAGAAGATCTCTGGGTCAGTGGGGCTTATGGGATTGGCCATCGCCGGGGCTCCGTGGTGCTTTCAGGATGCAGGCCTCTGGTCTGAATCACTCTCGAGAAGCAGTGAAAATGAGCCAAAAGCTTGACGATACCTCCGTGCCCAAGACGGTCCAGGAGACCGTGGGTGGAGGAACGCCCCGTGCCTCACAGCTCAGGTTCACAAACGCCTCAAAGTTCTCCTCCATTTCCATCATCGTGTCGGCGCCATTCATCTCTGGCGGCCCTGGAGGGGTGGAGTCACAGCGTCACGATGTCACTCGTCAGACTTCCTTGCCCTAGGCAATCCATACGCGCAATAATCCTGTCTGGTGATCAGCCTTCTGTTTAATCATTTCATTTTAGTTCACTACCTAATGTTTGCACTCACAAATACCACATGGAGCCCCAAACAAGCTTGAAATTGGCTTGCTAAGTCAGCACACGCTCAGAAGATAGCACCTGAGGGGATTGCCTATGGTGACTAATGGGTCGGCCAGCATTGCTGTAGTTCCACAAAACATCAGTTAAATACAGCTACAGCTCTGGAAAAAATTAAGAGACCACTTTATGTTTTTAAAAAATCTTAATTTAAAAATCTTGGTTTAACCAGGGTTCTGCTGGCATTAGGTTACACTGAGCAGCAGGCTGCTTCCAGGCTCAAAGTTTCCCAGACAACAGTTCACAAGAAGAAGGTGAAGCAGGAGACACTGGGAACGACCAGAAACCAGCCAGGTAGAGGGCGGAAGCGACTCTCTAATGTCGGAGGTGAATATTAACCTATCCGACAGTTTCTCATGAATTGGGGACGACATCAAGTGACCTTCAAAAGGAGTGGGAAACATTAAGTGCAGGTGTGCACTGCTAGGACAGTTCATATCAGGCTCCTAGACGGAGGACTGAAGTCCCATAAAGCAAGGAAGAAGCCCTTCATTAATGAGAAACAGAGAAGATCCAGGCTGCAGTTTGCAAAAATGTATATATTATTCACAGACGCACATCTATAAATTGAAAAATGAGTGAAACTGAAAATGATGCTGTGGTCTCAATTTTTTCCAGAGCTGTCTATAGTTCAGTAGGTACAGCCTGGATTATTCACTAATTGTGGCACTTGGGGTAAACAGAGGCAAATGAGTAACACTGAAACACACACATGACCCAGCTGAAGAGGGTCCAAGAGATTACTGATATCAAAACATAAAATATAATCACATGTGAGCTTCTGTCAGACCATGTGGGACCTCAGCCCAGAAGCTCTGCATTGACAGCTCACCCTGGACGATGATGTGCACCTCCCCAGTGGATTTAAGCCCAGCCAGAGCTGGAGTTGACACCTCGCAGATGTACTCCCCTGCCATGTCGAACGTGACGTCCTTCAACAGCAGGGCGTGCTCCCAGCCAACCTGCCTGCCATCCTGCTCAGAAAGAGCAGGCGGACGAATAATCGGACAGAGGTAGGACTTTGGAGTAGGATTGTATATTATGATGCAGTAGAGTGTAACATCACAATGTCTCCATGGAAACACTTCAAAGGTGCTACAGGATAGGTTTCGCTAACTATTTCCAAAGAAAACCCATGTAAGATGAGAGTTTCCTTGGTGTAGCCCTGTGTTTGGTATCTGCAGGAGGTCTCCTCCGTATAGTCTGTGAGGAGGTGTCTGTCACCTTCAAAAATACAGCCATAAAATGCCATGCAAAACAACTGAGCCTCCATAGCCGCTCACACGTGGCACAGACCAGGCGACACCGTTTGGGGGTCTCTACAGGACAGCGACATCCCACCTTGAACCATACGACGCTGGTCTCCAAGGACGACGAGGCATTACAAGTGGCTATCAGACTGTCTCCCTTGGAAACGATCTCTGATTCTTTAGGGACCACTACGACAGGATCCATGTCTGCAAAGGATGGGGGGAGGTGACAGGGGTATTCCATTAGCACCGCGGGGAGTGGGTGGAGTCAAAGGCATTCCTGCAGCTACAGAAGGCAGGTCATGGGCAGGATGGGATGAATTAGGCTAGGTCAGAGGTATTCCTTTGAGATCGAGGGCGGGGCAAGGACAGGATTGAATGAAGAGGCGGGGTCAGGGGCGGGGTTAGAGGCGGGGCAGAGGGCTGATCATCACTCACAGTGGACTTTCAGCTGCAGGTCCCCAGTCACTTCCTCGTATGTGTCCAGATCCAGCGAGCGGCACTGGTACACATCGCTCTCTTCCCGGGTCACTGCTGGCAGCTTCAGAAGGTCCAGGTGGGAGTCCAAATCGATCTCCGGATGCTGTGGCACAACATAATTCGATGATTTAATTAGACAGGAAACCACAATACATATAAACCAAATTTTGAAATGTGTTTTTTTAATAAAGATTTGAAGTTTATGTACTGAAAGAAAATGGGTTGTAAATTAACTAATACAATGAAATAGGATAAAGAATGACAGCATCATTACTCAGGGCAGCATGTTAAGCACAATGAATTTTATCACCCTGCCAAGCCTTTAATGGCGGTGAGGCTGTTCACCCCCTGAATTCGTATTTTAAGCCCTAACAAAGCCTAGCATTGACCCCCCAACCCAAAGCACTTCTCCAGAAGATTTATGGCTGACACCAAAGAAGCAGGTGGGGAGGGGGGCTTCTTACTTGTTTTCGGGAGAACGTGAAAAGAGGTGGGGGGTTGCCATCGCCCTGGCAACGGAGAACCACCATGTCCCCCTCTTTTACGAGCCCCGCCGGTGATTCCTTCCAGATATCGACCTCAGTGGTGGGGTCTGCATGGGATAAAGCGGAGACCCAAGATGTATTTTAACAGAACGTGCTCACGGACCGACCCTGGAGAGGTGAGTTTGGGTGAGAAGGGACTCACAGTGCACAGTGATGTTGACGGGGCTGGACTCAGCTGTGCTGACACCCCCAGGGATGAGGTAGGTGACCCGGCAGTGGAAGTGGGCGTCCTTGTCTTCCTTGGACACCTTGTAGTGCAGGTCGCTCTGTATGCTGAACAGACCGCTGGACTCGCCTGTCACCAGCGTCACCACTTTGACCACTGTGGGGGGGGGGGGGGGGTGCAAGCACATGTCAACATACAACCGTAGTAGCCACACGCTTGGAGTAAACCACCCTCCCCCCAGCAAACAAGCTGTTTAAAACACAATGATAAACACATTAACACACATGTAAACAAACACAGAATACACACATGCACCCACGCAAGTGAGTGAACACTCACGTCAACAAGCACACAAACATCAGTGTTAACATACACAGAAAACACACCTGCATAAACACATCTAAACAACCCAAACAGGGGAAATTCGTATTTTCCCAAGTATATACAAGCCCACACTGGTCACCATGCGCAGCCCACAAACAAGCAGGCCATGATCCAACCAAAAAAATTCCTCATATTATCATAATCGGCTTATCCCATTCCAGCACATGCTGATAAATCGAATGCTCAATGATTGATTTATTACTAAATGTGATATTCATTTCGACTCGTGGACACTCCACGCCGCTTCAAGGCCTTGTGGCTGCCAACGGACAGAGGTGACATCACGGATGAGGGGTACAGCTCACCATTAGTCTTGGAAAGTAGAAGGGTGTCGTCCCGGTACCACGAGATGTTGGGTTTGGGGTAGCCTTCTCTGACCTCACAGGATGCAATCTGTGGGGGGGGGGTGGGGTTTGACACTTGAGGGGGGGCACAGATTTCCTTTCACAGTAAGTGTTTTAGCTGAGGGATATTTAATTGGGCTTATTTTGCCCCCATCAGTAAATAGACCTTTGCATTTAAATTATTATGTTGTGTTCTGCCATTCTCAAACTCTATGCCTTGGCTCGACGCAGGCGGAGCGACAGAAGGTGGTCCGTACCTTGGAGGGGTGTTCCTCATTCACCGAGATTCCGGAGTAGACGCCCTCGATCACGGGCGGTTCGGGGGGGTCTGCCGAAATAAACGGGAAGAACGTTGGCGGAGCAGTGGAAGGCGTTTCCATCCAGGCGCACTGCTGTTTGTGGGGCGTTGGGCGGTTACTGGGCCAGTCCCATGAACCACCAGGCCAGACGAACGGGTTCAAGTTAAAGCAAAATGGCTACACTGGGCAGGCTAATATTTTTTAGTCAAGCATCCAAATAAATAGATTATCAGATACGGAAACCTACATAACCAAAACCCTTTATTTGATCATGATTGTTATGTATATGTATCCATAATAAATATAAGGTAACCATAATAAAAAATATTTATAAAGCATATGCAAAGTATAGCCAGAGGGGGGCGCCGGTCGCATACCGAAGACCCTGAGTTGTGTCTTGCTCTCCCCATTGCCAGCCGACATCCCGTTGACCTGGCAGATGAACTCCCGCTCGTCCCGAAGGTGCACGTCCTTCACGGTGAGCAGCAGCTCCCCAGTGCCATCGCCGGGACGCAGGCTGATCCTGTCGGCGAGGTCCGTGCCCTGGTCCGCGATGCTCGTGGTGCCATCGCTGTAGAATATGCGCTCTCTCCTGCTGCCGCTGGCCTCAGCCTGGGGGTCACGGTCACATGGGGTCCGGTTCGGGAAGGGGGGGCAATTTCCTGTTCTGTCCTTTACGAGGCGCTCAAATGCTAAGCGACTGGACGTCTCGCTGCACTTAATTAGTACTCTTATTTATCTCACTGTGTGTCAGTATACATATTTATAAATACAGCCCATATTTCAGTACTTTTTTGAATTATTGCTACTTTACATACATACCAAGTGTGTGAATCTGCATTAAGTAGACTTTTAAAAATAGTAATATTAATGATGATCAGCCATTCTGAAAAGGGGGTGTGGCCCTAGGCTGAATAGGGAGGGGGAATTGGGAGACTGGGCTCATTGACTGGTTCCACCTGCTGCTCATTCTCCGGGTACAGTATATCCTGGAGTGCTTGGGTTTGCTTTGGCCCTAGGAGCCCGGATATCTGTTGACGCCTTTAATTGCCTCCCATGCAGCCATTTCCGCAGTTGGGCCCCGAAATGTGGGACTGCGTTTGGTTATTTTCATTTCGCTTCATGGTCCGTGAGCCTGGCTCCTTGTGCACACTGCTTCCTGTCAGCTGAAGTGTACCCCAGGTCCCCATCCAGCCCCAAAATGGAGACCTTTAAAAATGGAGCCATTACTTGCCGCCAAGATTTCGGCCACATGGTTGCATGAGCCACTCAAATTAAAGACATTCTAACATCATTTTAAAAATATTTCAGTTTTTTAAAGTCAATTGTCCTATGTTATGTGGTGTTCCGTAAAGCTCTTTCAGAGTTTAAGATGTAATCTAAATTTCCTCTGTAAGAACTAGCTTCTCTCAGGTAAGTCATGGCAAATGTCAAAGTGATTGGATAAGGGAAAGCAGTGAATTATGGGACACACAAGTCAGACTCACCACAAACCACTGTATCATCACCATGCTGGGCTCCTCGTGGAAGGAATACTGGCAGGGGATTTCAACCGTGTTGCCCCTGAACACCTCCAGGGTATCGGTCATGGTGACTGTGACCACAGCCTTCACTGTAGAAGAAAACGCACACCACCACGACACAGTTAGACTTGTCTCCTAGTAAACAGTCGTGCCTTAATTAGAGATGCAAGCTCAGGCAGGAATGTTGTTAAATGTTCAAGGTAGTTTTCTAGGACTAATTAGATGAGTCTTCCTTAACGCTGTGACCATACGTATGTGTACTGAGCAGATGGCCCTGCAGCTTAAGTAATGATATTAGAAGGACGGTGCTTTATGGACCATTTAACATCCATAACGTGCATTAAAAGTACAGCAGTATGGCTTTCTTTGCTCACCAAAAAGGCAACATTAATCTTTGCAGCAACTGACACCCATTAAACCCGGTGTTTGTACCTCCTTCTGAGGTACAAACACTTCTGAGGTACAAAATGCGGAGAGGAACAGATGGAATTTTCCGGAAACACTGTCTCCCCATATCTCCTCCGGCTCATCCTGGCGAGCTGGGCCCGGATTCCGCGCCACATCCGGGCCACGCCGTAGGTGTGGGCAGAAGATGCTATGTGCGGAATCCGCCATGGAAACCTTCACCTGCATACTGGCGCATTCCACCGCTTCATGGGACGGGAGAATGGCTCGATTTACAGCCCGCATAATCGTACCAGTGTTTCTTCCCGACGCCCTGGGACAGGCTGGCGTGCCGGCTAAAGCGGACCGGGGAACCGCTGTGAGATCACACCCCCTGATGTGCTTGTTATGGTCTGAGCAGAATCCAAGACTCATGCAAAAGCAGATATAATGGAGTGTAAAAGCCCTGTGTAATTTCAGACAGACCACCAAGTCCCATTTGGCTGAGAAAACATAAAAATGCAGAAGGATTTCTGCTGAAATACAGGAGGCCTGAAGCTCAGGGACTGTACCTATTTGGGAAATTATAGGGGAGCCAAAAGCTGTACCAACTCAGGGAATGGGGGGGGGGGGGCTGGAGCTGTACCTACTGGGGAATATATGGAGGTCTCCATAGCTCTACCAGCTAGGGGAATATGGGAATATTGGGAGCCTAGAGCTGTACCAACTGGTGAAATGTGGGCGGGCCTGGAGCTGTAGCTACTGGGGAAAAATGGGGGGATGCTGGAGCTGTACCAACTAGGAAAATATGGGGGTCGCTGGAGCTATACCAACTGGGAAAAATGGGGGGGGGGTGTCTGGAGCTGTATCAAATGGGGGAATATGGGTTGTCTATAGCTGTACACAGTGCTGCATACAGGGGCATAGTGCAACAGCAAGTGAGGGAATTGGTGACCCTCTATGCCTCCGACATCCCCCCCCAAGCCATCAGCAGTGAGGCTACCTCCCCTCCCTTCTGGCATGGAAAGCAGCATGTGGACGCCTGCCTGGACAGCTCATTTGTTCTCTTTTTTCTAGGGAGGGGGTGTCCTCTGTCCTAGTCCTTCACTCTGGCAGTTATTCATAGAAACACCAAGACGGGGGCCTCCTTCTGGATACCAACAAGCTGAAAGGAGTGTTTGTTTTGTGAAGAGAATAATTTTCGGCCCTCAAGCGCCCTCCCCCATGCCCGACAGTTGCAGCCTCTCTGCCTGCCTCACGTGTCCCTCAAACAAGACCCAAAACAAACTCAGATCTGTTGTTTCTTTCCGGTGAGGACCCTGTGCGGTGCATCTCCACAAGTGGCATGTAAATAAAGTCCCCCAGGCATTACCTTCACGGGTGACACCAAAAGCCCCGACGGCCTTGGTTCATTAGCGCCGCCCTTCAGGCCGTGCAGCCTGATGCCTCCCCTGATGCTAATATGGGCTATCGAGAAGTCAACTAGGAGACGATGTAGTCTCACCTGCTTCCCCCCCCCCCAGCCAGGCCTGGTGGACCACCGGCCACCGTCGGGCAGATTGCCATGCGACCGGTGATCTGCTCGCTCTCAGAAGGCCATGTGACACCGGAGCGGAGTCACTGAGACTGCGGCTTGCCTGAGGATGGCGACTGGCCTCCAAGTCTCAGGGCGCCACCGGAGTCCGACCCGTCTGTCTGTTTGCCCTCCACTACCGCCGCCTCTTTCCACGGGTCCACGCGCTGGCCCACACAAAGCAGATTAAGCATAATATGGGTCACACAAAGTCTTCCATTCACAGCTCAGATACCCCCGGTGCCAAAACGCCCAGTCGGAGTGACTTTTCAAATGAACTGCCCCCCCCCCCACCCCCGCGCCTTGTGGTTTGAAAAAAGGGTTTGTTTCTCCCCCCATTCACCCCCGCTCTGATACTCCATCTATCCGTCCCACCTCTTTCAGCACGGCTAAAAAAAGGAGCAAGCCGAACGGCTTCCTTTTTAATTGGAAACATCTGGGTCGTGTGGGGCTCACTCTGTGCTGGGGGGGGTGGGGGGGCAGAGCCAGGACTGAGAGCGAACTTGAGCAGGTTCGGCCACAGAGAAGCAGGACGAGCACGCTAAAGCATCATTGGCCCCTACCCCTCTGACAAACACCAGGTGGGCCTTGGGGACCAATCCTGTCCCTACCCCCCCAATTCACACCCCAGAAAAGGCTCTGATCAGCCACCCGTGGCCCTAGAAGCTAGTCGTCCCAGGTGTAGATTATCCTTTGTTCCACAGAGCTTCTCTCACCCTGGACATGAATGCCTTTCTCACGCCAAAGTCACGTGGTGCCGAGTGCATCAATGGCCTGACTAGACAAATCTTCAAAATTCATATATTAATTTACATGTTAAAAATACATAGAATTTTATCAGCGTTATGGATGTGACATCGCACAGACCTGAGCATGCAAATGCCCATATTGATTGTTGGTGCGCTACGTCTACACATTTTTCCCATGATTCCTGGCGCAGTCAGGGAGAGATTGACAAGCAAACCACCAGCCACTGAGAGCCGAGGGGGGCAGCTTAATGCCTTCCTGCCCCAGGGTCGGCCTCGAAACTCCAGCATGCCAAATCAGGGGATTACGGTTCAGTTGTCGCTTCGAGGTGGAGCGATCTCCTAACTCCACCGAGAACCTACTGAAGCGGTAGAAGTTCTGCGGTCACATGAAGGTGGTCATAAGCTGGGGTATTACAGCTGTTCCTTTAGGTGACACCCGAAGAGGTCTGCGCTAGTCCCTACCTGGGATGTCACTAAGCACCACTGTGTTTGGGCCAGTCCATATGCAGTGGGCTGTTATGTCTAAAGCCCTTTGTTTTCTGGCAGTGTAACCATAACAGTCACCAGGGTGGCAATGTCTCTCAAACTGCGCCCCCCCCCAATCCAGCTGGAGCCTCCAGCTGCGGCTTATCCTCTGTAGATCACCCAACCCCCACCAACAAACCTGTCCACACTGGAAGAAGCAACAACATCATATGCCTTTTTCCAGCAGATGCCCTTTCAAACAGTCAGAAGGGGGCCGGGGTCCCTGGTGACTGAGTTGACAGAGCTTGTCAAAAAACCGAACCCTTCCTCCCCCCTCTGCACGCTGCCCAAGATGTCAGCTGGAGAAGGCAAGAGCAGATGTGGCTGCTGCTCCGAGGCCATCCTCCTGTCAGCTCTACATGGTTCTGACCCACTGTGGGCTTTATCACCTTAAGGTTTCCATTGGCTATCCAAGCCCCCCCCCAACATCGACCAAACTGTCAACTCGGTTCAACCTCAAGGTGATTGTTATGCACCAGTCTTTCCCAATCTGGTCATCAGAGACCTACAGACAGTCCACATTTTTGCTCTCTCCCAGCTCCCGTACTGGATTGTCTAGTAGGAAGCTCGGAGGGGCCAAAAACATGGACCGGCTGTGGATCCCTGAAGACCGGATTGGGAAACACTGTTCTACACCAATTGTTCCACACAGGCCGTCCACTCAGTCAGGAACCATATAGCTACTATGCGTCTTTCCATTTACAATGCAGGTTCTGACTTACAGAGCCTCAAATGTTGCATGAACTCTGCTTTTTTATACTCAAGGAACCAAAGTTAAGATGGGATCTTCAACATGTTCATTTCAAGGTAAAACGCAAATGATTGCAACCCTTTCTGCTGACATATTTAGAGCCATATACTCTCTAGAATATTATTAAATATCTATGTCAGCACATTGCCGTATTTTTTATGGTGTCCCTTTCAGGGTGTTGAAATGGTTTTGCATTTAAGGAGATCAGGAATTACATGCCCATGCCACACGGTACCTGAAGTGTGAAGAATCCACCTTAATCATCTCACTGCTGATCTAGGACCTCATGACAAGGCTATGAATGGGCTTTTCTTTCATTCTCTATCCCCAGTCAGATACCTGGTGCCCCCCTGACCACAGATAGCCACCTCTCAGTCTCCCCATTGTCCTTCCGGCTTAGAGAAATTCACAGGCTTTCAAAGCTGCTATTCTTTCTGATAGGAGATCTAGTGTTAAAGCCCAGATATCCAGTGTGCGGGGGTGCTGGGGCATAAAGGGGCCTATCATGCAACAGTAGGCATGTGACCGGCCATGATAGGGCCGTGCCACGTGGCGATGGGCTCCGAAGGTGTGAGCTTTCTTTAACCTGAAACTCACAACCCCCCAGCCTGATCCCATAACCCTCCTGAGAGCCTATGGCTCTGGCAGGGGCATAAGAAGGGCCATAATTCATATAAAGGGGCCAGTTTTATCATCAGCCAATGATATGTTTTGAACCAGTGAGTGACAGGGCAGGGACCAATCAGCTTTCAGGTGGGGCCATTGTCCCTGTGGTCCTGCCCCTGTATATCCCTCTGGGCTCTGGCCACAAACCACAAGCTTGCCTCCCACTCAACCCCTTCCCCCCATTCCCCCATCCCTCGGCCCAGTGATGCATTCCTGATTCGGGCTGTGGCCTGGCACAAATCCCCCCCACCCACCCCGTGTGAGGGCTGGGTGTGAGTGAATCTGTCTGCCAGCCATGTGGGACCCTGTCCAGCGTGTTTGTTTGGGTGGGTGGGGCACTGCGGACTGTCTGACAACTGACCGGATGTGTGATGCCAAGAGACAAAGAGAGGAGATGCTAAAAAGACCATCGGCGCACATGAATGATGCGAAATGAGTAGC